TCAAGGAAGAAAACTGAAATCTGCAAAACATTCACCGACATTTCAAAGAACCCTGAAACTCAACAGACTCTACACAGGAAGTGGTGTGCTGAAATTTTACTAATAATTGGCGGGCCTATCAGAATGCGACCCTGTGGAAACTTTTATTCTCGCGGAATCCCTAGCAGTAAAATCAAGCGCGATCCTAGTTGTTTTAATCAGCCGTATCTCTAACAATACAAAATCGGAAAAATAAAATCACACCCTTATGAAAAGTTTTGGAACATAACATAAAGCATTACGCGCCTTACGGTGTGTCATAGTTCACGAAACACGAATCCCCGGGGGATATTTACTTCAATCATATGTAGAGATCACATTCTAAACATCTATGTGCTGATTTTATTATGATTACTCCGTTTCATGCATACACATGCTGTATATACTATCAACTTTTGACGCGACTTCTCGAGTTTTCGGAATGTTGGCTCTTTTCAATACAGTTATCACTTCTGATCAAAAAAATAGCACGTCAAATATGCATTTTGTGTTATCATTTAGCTAGAGGTGTTTTGGTGGATGCAGACTGACAGCATTCAGGCTTAAAAGTGATTTTTCGTTAGTTTGCGCATCTTTCATCTGATTGGTCACATACTGTATGTCAACTGCCGTTTCCATACAGTGCTTGACCTATCTCTTGAAGCCTGATAACGAAAACTACATGAGAATTTTCAGACGTCCTAAACATTGCGCTTTTTGCTCGCTTTTCCAGACTGTTCAATAAAACGGCCTTTTCTTGTGCGGAAAATTTGTCCGCGTAATTTCATCAAGCAAAATGCTCATAAATTTTAGTGAAAATGGAAGTTACGAAATATTGGGGCGATTTCCTGTTCAAATATCGCGCGTGTGAGCATGTTTTTCTCTGAGAGAAGAGAAATTCACTCTCAAGAGTTTTACTAAACACGGCTTGCAGTACTTGAAAATTAATTTTTTGTTCAACGCTAACCACGAAAATCAGCTTGATGACATATGGATTATTTTAAGAGAGCCAGAGGTTTTATAGATTGTTGGAAGTCAGATCAGCGGTTCTGTGCGATTCGGTCTTCTAAAATGCAGTTATAGCGCACACAGGCAATCCTTAGTTTAAATGGGCCAAAATTGTTTTGCCGTTAAAAAACTCTATGATTTGTTACCAAAGTAACCGCCAGCAAATAATTGTTTTCCATTTTTGACCTGTGGTATATTACTTTTAGTGGGCCTAGCTTCTGCACATACGGAATGTGAAAATGAAACGAGCAAAACTTTAACAGTTTCATCAAAATACCAGTATTTATATGACCACCTAGCAATGCACTTATAATCGCAGAACGGAGCATACAAGTGAGTAGAGATATAGAAGACGGATTCAATATAAAGTGGAAGGCATGTTCTTACGCTTATGGTAGGATAATATCAGTATTTCTAAGCAGCATGAAAGAAGCGGCCAAAAGTGTCAGATTTTTTTGGCATCACCATGTAAATATGTAAAGCACACAGACATCCGTCAACGAAATGCTGTAATTAGGCCTTCCTAAAAAGGCAACTTATTAGGAAAAATTTTATAAATGACCAAAGTTACATTCTCTGCTGACTTTTGCAGCTGACATTTTTCTTCGACGATGAGGCTTCATGTTTAGGCGAGTCTTTAAGTGACCCAAACGACCTTCTACGTGAAAAGGAAGGCCAAGGCACTCACAACGTCGGTGAATGCCTTCAAAATGCATCTTATTTAAAAGGTTTTAACTAACGCTTAATTCAGAATCTGTCTTTATAAGCAATCAACTGGAAACTATGAAAATCGTAAAGTATTCGGTGATATTTCAATGGCGATATGAAACTCAACGTAATCCAAAATAAAGGAAAAGTATAAATTAGTTTTTCGGAAAAAAGACCTTTTTGTATACAAAAATGGGATGTTTAAGATTACTCGTGTCAATTTTTTGTTAATTTATTTGTCACTGACGCGCCTGGCAGCATCTGCTCCTGTGAAAACTTTTGTTCCTGTGACGTCACTTTAGGTAAAATTCTGCAAAATTTCGTTTTTCCTGTTGAATAGCACGAATCCTCGGGAAACCGTTTTGGAATCAAGATTCAGAATGCAAGCTGCTGGTAAACCGCCATACCTCGGATTACACTAATTCTTAGTGGATACTAAAGTGTAAACTTTACTAAAATATTATTTTCAGAGGCTATTCTGTTCATGCTGTTTTGCATGGACAGACATTGTGTACACGGGCAAATGAACTTTACAGAATTACAACCATTTTGGCGTTTTCGGGAGTTTCCGCTTTTCCGAAGAAACTCGGTATTTCAAAACAATGAAACATTTCCTTTTCTATTTCTTTTATGTCCTTTAATTCTCTCAAGCTAGTTATGTATTTTCATAAATATTGAGTCCATGCACTGGTGTCGTGATTAGCAATCATTCGTAAATTTTGACATGTTTGATGAGTTGGGTCACGTACTGTATCCCCGTTCAGTACTAACGCTACTAATAATCTTTTCCATTTATTCTGTTGGCATTTATATGGAATTGGGAAAGCTTCTGCGCGCTTAGAAGTCGGCTGTTTTCCCAGCTGATTAGTCATCGCAGTTAAAAGTTCATAAAACGGAGTACTGCGCAGTTGTGTGCAGCGGGCAGACGATGAGATTTGAGGTTGTTCGATCGGTTGCTAGCCTGCCGGCAGCCAAAGAAACTCGCGGTCGTCGCAACGGGCGAATCCATTGCACGTTGGACTCCATCCAAGCAGTCATTCCCATTGTCTCACGGTCTCAAAATAAACACTAACCAAACCTCCTTCCTGCCTTGTTATCTCACACCTTTAATATTCAGACTGCAAGATGATTTTTCCATCGGGCAGTGCTCGAACTCAGCTACGGACTCGCCTTACGCATTTGCGGGAAATAAATAATGGTTATTTCATCTGGTTGGCATATGTTCATGTCGGTAAAACGTAATCCGAAATCGGGGGCACCCTCCCCAAAAAGTAGATCCTTTCTGGATGCAAACTTTATCAATTTCTGACCTCAGATTAAAGAGACATGTGGCCTAGACATTATACCAGAGCAACCCAAATCATTTATAGTTAAAAAAGAACACTTACTAACGGTCTCATTTTTGTGATGGAATTTCGCCGATGCTCTTATCTACAACCTGGACTTGATTTGCATAACCTTAGCGTTGTCTTGCCCTTTCAAGAAGAATGCGTTCAGATGTTTTGATCAGAACACCTTTCAAAAACATCCATTAGACTTCAATTCGTTAGCCGGTGTAGAAAGAGCAAATGCCCACTGCTGGGACTTAGGATGACACACCAGGAATGTTTTTTAGCCGAAATATCGAGGGAGTGCGGTGCATGCAGCCTTCCACCAAAGTCATTCTCTAAAAACAGACAGATAAACATATGGTGTGCCATTTCCTCTTTATCACTTTGGCGTGCCATTTCTCCCTACCAGGGGTCACGCCTTAGATGCGCCGGAAAAACTTGTTGGCTAGGTGAGTGCGCGAAGCGCCTTATTCGGTCTACGCAGTCGAAGCAACTGCCACACTTAGAGGGCCTGGTGCCACGCCTAGGCGCAGGTCCCCGTGCGCGCTTGCCACTTGCTCCCAGTCCGCACATCAGATGCCTGTCCGATTCGAACAGGAGATTGGTGGCCGGCAGAGGAAAGGGGGAATGAGATCGATTCTGGGAGCTCCATTCGCAAGACAGTCTGCGCATATTCCTCAATAATAAACACTCTGACAATGTCCCTGTGTGCTAGGAACCGTGGCTCAGAAAAGTGTCAACTAACGGCACAGCTCCGTCCTTCTCTCAGGGCAGAGAGTCAGATTGCAACTGTCTGTGCCATCTTCCACCTGCGGTCTTTCTAATTTTGTCCAGGGTCCAGGGGAGCTGAGGGATGAGGGAGCGCGGTAGATGCCACAAGAGCTGGAAAAGGTTCCTTTCAGCCACTACAAACCTGCATTTTGGCGCTGATACGTGGAGGATACATTCGTCGTTATTGAAAAGTACAGGCTATCGAGCTTTCAAGACTTGCTTAACAGCTTCTTCCCCGACATTCAATTTACAAGAAGGGACGAGGAGGCCAAGAAACTACCCTTCCTTGACGTGCTCGTCACGCGCACACCTGATGGTAAACTCAGCACTACAGTGTTCAGAAAGGCGACCAATACAACTTAGATCCTCTATTATGCCAGCAACCACCCATTGGTGCACAAAAGGGGCTGTGTGAGGGCGCTTTCCGATCGCGTAAAAACGCACTGTAGCGAGCCCGAAGGAAGAATGCAAGAACTACGGCATTTCGGGGATCAATTAATAAATAACGGCTACCCAAATAGTTTCATCAGCCGCTGCATATGCACGCACCCGCGACGGACAAACGGAAGAGAGACACCAACAATTTGGCACCGTACACAAAGAATGTGTCCGAGGCTACATAACGCATTACGTCAGAGTTAAACGTGGGCATCTCTCATCATCCGGCGGCTACCATGCCTAGCAGGATCATAAAAATGAAGGATCGGCTGGACGCAGGTTAGCAGTCGGGCGTAGTCTATTAAGTCCCGTACCATAACTGTCCTTGCCACTTCACAGGCCAAGCAGGACGACGTCTCAGCACACGAATACTTGAGCACAAACGGGCCGTTTGCAGAGGCGACCCACTATCTCAAGTCGCCACTCACACGCTGGAGGAAGGCCATGAGTTCGACTTCTCCAACACGCGGATGTTGGCGCGAGTCGGCAACAAGACGGAACGAGAACTGTTGGAGGCATGGGTGTCGGACACCAACTCGATCAATAGACACATTGATTTTCCTGCGTGTTATCGCGCACTCCGCCCACGCATCCAGGCGGCGCAGCTCAGATCGTCGCGAAGTAAAAACGGCGTCGCCACGCTGGGGGACCATTGTGGGTCAGGCAGCATAAACCAGACCTAACCACGGAGGTAGTCCCCCCTCCCCTCACGGCACAACGATATGTATGTTCACACGTTGCTGCACTCTAGCAGTCTCTGATGCTGATGATGATGATGATGATGATGATGATGATGATGATGATGATGATGATGATGATGATGATGATGATGATGATGATGATGATGATGATGATGATGATGATGATGATGATGATGATGATGATGATGATGATGATGATGATGATGATGATGATGACGATGATGATGAACTCCAGTTCTAGTTCAAAAGCTTAAAAAAGCGGCGAGATCGCAGTCGGTAGCCAGGAATGGGGAAGACGACGGCGACCTTAACCCTAATCCTAGCACTAACCCTAACCCTAACCTTAACCTTGAACGTTAACCGTTAACCCTAACGGCAATCCTAAACCTAACCCTAACCGAAATCGTAAACGTAACCGTAACCCTTAGGCATAGCCCTAACTGTAAAACCTAACCGAAATACTGAAACCTAAACGTAAACGCAAATCCTAACCGTAACCCGAAAACCTATGCCTAAAGGCATAACCCTAACCTGGAAATCGGAAACCATTAACCGGTACACTAATCCTCACCTCAAACGTAAAGAGGAAGTCAAATGGTTAAGGTTAGGATAAGATTAAAGGTCGCCATCGGCTTCCCCATTCCTGGCTACCAACTGCGATCTGGCCGCTAAGGCCAATAAATATACAGTCCCAGTGATCGTGCCTTCGTCTTCTTTTAAAGACTCTTTAGCTTTGTCAACTGTTCTTGAGGGGTGAGGGGGTGCGGCAGATGCCATGCAAGTCTCATGTCACTAATTCACGCGAAAGTCACTGTCTCTGCGCCCTGTCGTCGGTCGTGCTGTCTTACCCATTTCTAGAAGGGCGAATTTGGTTTGTAATTTGGCGAGGTTTGGTTCTGCAGCCTCACCCGGATGATACAATATGGTAAGCTTTCTAAAACCTTTTAGTAGATGTGAGTACGCTGACTTTACAAATATCACGTATGTGCATCTTCCTTGCCTTCTTAATTCAGCAAACGACTGTGCCACGAGGGAGGAATTCTTATACGCCAGCCTCGGTTACTTCAGGCATCAGTTCAAACGCGCTACCCTCCGCTTGGTTCGAGCCCTGCTTGCGCCCTCTTTATCATCCTAATCCAGCGAGTGGCTGGAATGTTAATGAAATTGCCCCGATGGTGTGGAACTCCGTTGGTTCCACTACAGTGGCCATACACTGCGAGTTATCACGCGGTACCCTTAGTGGGTCTTCCAGTTGTGATTGCGCCCCCCCTTATCCTCTTAATCCAGCGAGTGACTGTGTCTAGGGGTTAGTATGTACACGCCACCTTCACTCGCTACCCTGCGCGTGCTTCGAGCTCTGCTTGCGCTCTCTTTCCCTGGCTAATCCAGCGAGTAGCTAAGTTAGGTATGTTCACCGATATTGTTTTAGTAAGCTAAGCATACGGTATCAATCACGTGGGGCTGCAGAACCAAACCTCGCCGTCCTTTCTCGCCTAAAAATTCCGATTTTGCATCTGCGCAGTTTTGGACTTCAAAGCCGATGAACAAAGCCAACCATCGGACAGCTCAACCATCCAGTTCCGAGCTGTGTACAGCATGTGGACATCAAGTTTTTTGAAGTATCCCTTAGCAGTGGTTAACGAAACGCAGCATGTAGCCGAATTGATGGAGGTCCTTGAGCCTTCTCGGAGAAAGTTAAGTTTTCGGGCCATCCACTTGGATAGATTGTAAGTGGGGCTGCCTTTCAAGGCAACGATCGGTCGAAGGGGAACATTGGGCTTGTGGATTTTGGGTAATCCATAAAACCGGGCCAGTGCCGTGTCCGTTGGTTTCATCTGTCGCCATTCGTCTAGCGATATAGCACTGTCTCGCTTGAGTCGGTTCAGGAGTCCAGTTAGTTGACCAATTATCGATTTGGCTCGCGAGGGAGGCGTGGACTTGTAGGACTGTTGGTCGTCTAGGAGGGCTTGGGCCTTTTCGATGTAGTCAGCGCGGTTCATCACGACGGTTGCCCTTCCTTTGTTGGCTGGCAGCACTATTATATCTTTGTCCATTTTTGATTCCTTCATTGTTTCTATTTCTGAGGGCGACATATTATTGATGGGCCTGTTCGCCAGCAGTAGGGAGGTGACTTTCTGGCGTACGGTGTGTTTAGCCTCGTCGGTCGCGTTGGTTCTTACCAACATGGCTTCAAGTGCGGCGATAAATTCGGCCGGTTTGGCATCTGCCGTATTAAAGTTGGCTTCACGACTCAGCACTCTCAGTTCTTGTTCAGTTAACTGTCTGGAAGATAGATTGTGCACCACATTTTTGTTCGTCTTGTATTCGGGTTTCAACTTTCCGAAATTCTGCTCTAGGTTCATGCGTTTTAACTCCTGTCTCCTTTTTGCCAAGATGGATATTGTTCGGCCAAGGGAATCAGTAATCAATTCGCCAAACAATGTCGCGCACTCTGTCCTTTTCTGTTCAATGACGGCGCGGCGCTAAACGCAGTGCTCAGCATCAATTCGAAGTGCGTTATGGCGTTCTAGACATCAGTACAAACGTAAGTTTTGTTTTCTTCCATAAATGTAATACGATGTGTGGTTATCGGAGATGCAAGCTAGCGCCTCACTACATATTCTTTAGAATGGGTGTTGGTAAGTTTTTTCTCCCGTTTCCAACTTATTCCCGTTCTCCTTGTGTCGGATTTATCTATTTTAGATAATTCTGCGTTTTGACCGGTGTTCAACCATAATATTATTGCTAAATTGCTTTATTACTGTTTTTGCAACGTTAGACTAAATTAACCTTTCTGAAAAATCATCTTGTTTTATGCGGCATTTAGTGTGACAGATATGATCATGTGTGCTTTTATTGCGCAGTATGCCTGGTTGAGGTGAAAAATATATTGTTATGCGGAAGCGCTTGCCTTTTGCTGCTTACTCAAACATGCATTTCAGTAAACGTCCTTGCGCCTCATAACGAGAGCCCATGTAACCGGTAATGAGATTTGCCAGTTTGCTGTTGCCGCAATTAAACGTCGCACTACAAACATCAAAGCTCAAACAGAAACTCTACACTTGTTTGGCATTTTAAATCCATTTAGCTAGAACTGCCCACTAAAATTAATAGTAATACTTGGTTATTTCAGAATTAGTTTAAGCTTTGAGAGTACCTGTATTATAACAGTGACGGCAAGGTTAAACCATTTTAGTCCAGCAACTGACTGTGCTATGGAGGGACGGGTACTTATACGCCAGCCTCGGTTACTTCAGGCATCAGTTCAGACGCGCTTACCTCCGCGTGGTTTGAGCCCTGCCTGCGCCCTCCTTATTATCCTAATCCAGCGAGCGGCCAGGTAGACTTGTTAATGGAATGGTCCCGAAAGTGTGCAACTCCGTCAGTTTCATTACACTGGCCATACACTGCGACTTACCACGCGGTACCCTCAGTGGATCTTCCAGTTGTGACCGTGCCCCCCACCCCCATATCCTCTTAATCCAGCGAGTGACTGTTTCGAGAGGCGAGTATGTGCACGCCAACTTCACTCGCTTACCTGCGCGTGCTTCGAGCTCTGCTAGCGCCCTCTTTCCCTTCCTACCCCAGTGAGTAGCTAAGCTAGGTATATTAACCGATATTGTTTTAGTAAGCTAACCATACGGTATCAATCACGTGGGGCAGCAGAACCAAACCTCGCCTGTAATTTTTCCGGGGGACTTGCCACCTTCCTTATTAATATGCAAAAGTTATGCACACTTGTGTATCAAAATATCCGAATTAGGCATTTAATTCAACACTTAAGTTATTCACATGTTAGACGAGTGGTTGATTTCTCGAACTGCCCTGAACCGCATTTAAATCAAAGCAGGCGGATATTTCCAATTCTAGAAGTTTATCTACCGCGTATTCAGGAGACGCATAGTAAGGCCTATGCATACACATTACACATGCCACTCTAGTGAAAAGAATGCACGCGTCATATATTATCACCGAATCGACTCGTGACTCAATTTCCCACGTACCGTTTTTGTTTTTCAAGTGTGCAACACATTATTTTCAACAAAAGTTAACACCACTTTAATGTTTTACTAGGTAAAGTTTCAAATTATCTCCAAGAAAATTTCCAACGATGCATTGGTTCTGGAAGCACTCGTTGTTATACGGGTGAGGACCGTTTATATTTTGCTGTGAAGCGCCGTCGATTTCTAGGCATTTCCGGTTTAGTGAGCTAGAGCGAGGTGCCACAATACAGAGGTTGTTCATGTGAAGTTTACGTCGGTTTTTGAAATGAGCGAAAAGGCGTGAGTTGATATCCGGTGCAGTTAGATTTGTCGCACGAAAGGGAACCGCGTGTGATTTTTCATTTTGGCCCACCTAAGTTTGCATCGTCCGTGATGGGCCACAATGAATTTGTCAAAAGCCTGCATCATAAAGGCTGCATTCAGACGTCATTGGCACTTAACTGTGGTTGTTGGTCACCTTTCAAAGATTAGACGCATCTGCAGTCTCTGAAAGATGGCCTTGACCATGTCGCAGTATGGTCGCGGGAAAATGGCCTCATAATGAGCAATCAAAAATCCGTTTAGTTTATTTTCCGACGGCAGCCCTCTACTAATGCTGAATCATTTGACATCCGTCCAAACTAGGTATCCTCCTTGAGGTACCTTGGCGTTGCTTTTTCATCTTATCTTTCGTTTTTCCTCTATATTGAGTCCCTTTTCACTTAAGTTCGCAAACTTATTTGTTACATTCGTCGTTTACATTCCTACCGCACAGCTCAACTCTTAATCTGGCGATTCATAGGTGCCTGCATTCTTTCTCTTATTCCCTACTGTCCTCCTGTCATTTTTTCTGCTTTGATCAAAAATATGGGTTTATTTTAAAACGAGTCCTCTGAATGCTCTCTTCTGCTGCCGGTGTTTCTTATGTGTTTTTAGTCGATACTATCGTAGGAGGACACTTCAAAACAATCAAGCAATTTGCTGGTCGAATTCTGGGTGAAGTTGCCCATTCTCTGCATTCTGATCTAATCTCTGCGAAGGCTTCCCTCCCCATGCCCCGTGGATTCTGACTTATCTCTTGTCGTACATCGACTTATCAGCATTCCGTATTGCCACCCCTGGTGCCTTATCTTACGTGTGAAGAGACATAAATACAGAAGCTAAGGCTTGAACTGTCCCCTCAATAGTCGTTTTTTATGTGCAAAACTTTTTGACTCTTGGGTAATTTATCAGCTTATTATCTGTTCACGGCAAATGA